AAAATATGGTTGTATCGAATCTGATACATTAGGCAGTGTAGAGTTAACTGTTAATTTTACTGGGGTTCATTGAACCAACCCTGTTTAGTTTCTGTAACTGCTAAGGCATTACATATATTGTTTATGATTTTGGAGTTAATACAGGCCTATACATAAAATGTAAGTAGGACAGTGTATTCATTTATTGATACGAATTACATGATTTATACAGGGATTGTGAGGGCCATTAACTTGGGGTAAGGGGAAGGACGAAGTGTTTTTTTCAATTTGTAAATAAATAAGATCTGCGTTAAGGTTGTCTTCTTATTTCCTATTTATTTGGTAGATTCAAAGTAGGAATTTTCTGGATTTAAAAAGGCTCAATATTAAAGATCTACCTGGCGTCCGACCCAACATCAAAACAATAGTATTTTTACCAGATTACAAAGTAATCACCCACTCCCAGTTCCGCTAGAGAGAACAGCAAGAGAACAGAGAAGAGCAACAGTAATATTCTAGTAATCCAGAGATTCCATAACAAAGTCCATAATATTCTTGATGCTCTTTGGTACATAAGAAAGAGTGCCCTTTATCAAGACCTCTAGATGGACATTGCTGGCCCGACTATCACCAGATTCGCTAGGAGTCACGAGGAACGGTTCCACCAACATGTGAACGTTGAGGCGATCCAGCTTTTGACAACACAAACCTAACAAGAAGACTAAAAAGAGTGAATTTTTTTGAGTTAGTCAAGTGATTGTGTTAATAACAAAGCACAGCATTGTGTGGTTTAGTGTTATTAAGTTATCAGACCCTAAGATATACTAGCGAGTAGAACTTTAATTTTTATTATTTTAACCTTAGTTAAGTTAGGTTAGCACTAAATTACTCATTGATCAACTTCTGATCAGATTCTAAAATTAATAAACTCACCTTATGAGTGTTTCTCAAGAAACATCTGGTCATTTAAATTTCCTGTGGGCGCATTTTAAAGTATGGCCACATACAGGGTTTTTGATTATATTTTGCTACTACTTATTTTCATTATTCTTGTGAACATAAAAAAACAGTTTCATACTTGAGCTCTGTTGTTTTACCTAAACTTTTTCCACCTCAGTATAACATTACAAGCAATTAATTGACAACTTTTAATAAACACAAGTGGGAAACATTATTTTTATAGCCATCTATGTAAAACGCTTTCATAGTGCAATAAGTCACTAAATAATTAAAATATTATATATTTTTATTCAGGAAATGCAAGTCTACTTAAACTGACAAAAATGAAATTATATTTTAAGAACATTTTTTTGTTAAATATTTCTAGAAGATTTATTTGAAATATTACCTATATTTCATAAACTTATTTTTTATTATTGAAGAATAAATATTTTTATATTTTGAAAGTGATAGGGTAGGCAACCCCCTTCTTGATTGCCTTAACGCGCCCATTTGTCTCTGGATCCGCTACCGCCACCGTAAAAAGTTCCAGCGCCCACAGGGGGCGGTCCCGCCCCCATATTAATCTATGGTATAGACACTATAGACAAACAAGAAAAGATTCACAAGTTTAAAATAAATTGATTTACGTATTAAATGACAAAATAAATTGATTATTTTTGGTATATAAATTTTCTGTTTATTTGAATATAGGTCAATATTAAACTTTTGATATATTCTATAATTTTAATAATTTTGTTTGGCCACCTGGTAAGATTTTGTTTTATAGTTGGATATTGTTTTGTTAAAGTTACATGTGGCGCTCAACATTTTTACTGTAGGTATTCAAAATATAAATATATTACAGAATTCACCTTAGCTCGGTAGACTAATAACCGCAGTGTGTTGCACTTGATATTCATTATAAAACCTATTTTTTTTTAACAAACATCTTGGAAAAAGTGCGGCACAAGGTGAGTGCCACTGTCATCAATTTTTGGGTTTAAAAATTGACAATATAATTATATACATATATACATATACCGGGTGTTCAAATTAAAGCGTTAAAGCTATATACCGCCTTTTATAAAAAAAATGTTTTAGACGAGTTTTATAGTTTTGTGAAGAAAAATGTTTGGCTAAAATCGTTTTTTATATTTGACAAGGGGGGTAGCCATGTGTGAGTTGAGGTATACATCAAAGTGGTTGAATGACATACTCAAAATCCATTATAAAGATCACTTTACACATACAGTCAAAAATAGTGTACAACTTGTAAACAACATCAAAAATGTTCACATTAATGATACAGATTCTTTGATTCCTATACCAGAGGTTCTAGGTTTTGTTGAATCACATTTGTCAAGTTCGAATATGTCTGATATTGAACTAGTAGAACTTTTGAACCTTCTCAAGGTTTGTTTAGAACAAAACTTTTTTTCATTCAACAATGAAATTTTTTCACAAACAAATGGACTTTATATGGGATCTCCACTTAGCCCAATATTAGCAGACATATTTATGCACAATTTTGAAAAAGAAAAAATCCTTAAAAACAACCCTTTCCACTCAAATGTGAAATTCTATTATAGATATGTTGATGATATTTTGATTTTGTGGTCAGGTAACTTAGACTCATTAAATGACTTCTTGACTTATATTAATGACTTACATTCTAATATTAAATTTACGTTAGAAATTGAAATAAACAAATCTATTAACTTCTTAGATCTTAAAATCTCACACAATAATAACAAGTTCAACTTTGACATCTATAGAAAGCCAACACATACAGGCACAGTTATAGACAATACCTCTAACCATCCAGCAACACATAAATTGGCTGCCTTTAATTGCTACTTAGAGAGGCTATTAAACGTTCCTCTGTCTACGGAAAACTTTAATAAGGAACTAAATATAATTAAAACTATTGCTATAGATCACAACTTTGAACTAGATATTATTGATAAAATGCTAACACATAAACAAAATAAAATTCAACAAAACTTAGTTTATATTAACAATCCTAATATGGTACATGAACTAACCACCAGTAAGAAATACATTTCTCTTACCTTTATTGGAAAAGCATCCTATAAAGTGGCAAGCTTACTTAAAGACCACTTTAAAGTATCTTTCAGAACCCTCTCCTCATTACATAAGTTATTTATTCATAATAAAGATAAATTAGATCCCTTTGACTTATCTGGAATTTATAAATTAACTTGTAAATCTTGCCATTCTTTCTATGTGGGACGCACATTTCGAAATTTCAAGATCCGTTTAAAAGAACATTTGCGTTGTCTTAACCAAAATACAACAGGTTTTTCACATTTTGCCAACCACCTACCGGACTCAAATCACGACTTCGATTCAACTGAAGGTTTCGAAATCCTACATAGTTCCTACCATAGATTTACTCTTAATAGCTTCGAAAGCCTCGAGATATTGAGAAATTTAAAATTAAATCCTGTTGGTTGCTTAAATGCCCAGATAATGTCAGAAACTCCTCCTGTTTTCTCAACATTAATCTAAATTTATCGCTCTAACTTCCTTTTTAACCTCCCCCTTTATTTCTATTCACATATTTTCTTGCAAGGGGTACATTTCAGTAAGTAATTTTTTTCCCACAAGAAACCAACGAGCATGTTTAAAGATTAGGTTAGATTGTGTGATATTCACATCCGTCATTTTCTTCTTTTATTCTTCAGTTGCTTCACAACAGTTAACCCAGTCATTTCTTCTTCTTTCTTCTTCCTACAACATCACATACACTTGGTGATTGGTTCATGGCCCAAATCTTATATAATAAATAATAAATATTTCTTCACTCATGGTTTACATCTTATTACCTATACCCTGTCATGGGTTTACCCAAGAATTTTTTTGTTAATACTTGCCACCACCTGTAGAGGCCTTAACTTGACAGGTCTCCTTTCAAAAATGTTAGTTTTTTGAAAAAACAACAAGGTTGTTTAAAATAAGCCTTATCTTTTAATCTGTTTAATGTATGTGATTTGTTTTGTATGGTCTTGAATATTTTAAATTTTTACTATTTCAATTGACTAATATTTGTTTTTTCAAATATTTTTAACTTTTTATTACTTGTAAACTTTGTTCATTTTACAATTTATTTCACCCCACATTTGATGAAACTTGTTTTGTAGTATTCCCTAGTGGATGGAGAGTATGGTGAGTTTTCTCTTTTTTACTATTTTATATATCGTTTGCTCCAAGTTAACACACCTTACACCACATATTCTCATTTCCACTAGGCGAGCCTGAAGATGAAGTGATGACACTTCGAAACCGGTCGCACTCAATGTTTTGTTAAATAATTAAACATTGACTTTCCTTGTGAGATATAAAGGACTTTTTCTCCCCCTTCACCTTAAAATCGTTTTTTATAGCTAACCATAATATGGTCAACTTTTTTTTCGCCTAGCAAAAAAATTTTCAAGTAGCTGTTACTCAAAAAGTAAAAGTCCAATAAAAAAAATATTTTCATCAAAAGTTTCTTATTTGTTTATGTACTTTAAGAATATGAAAAAAAACATGGGATTCCCATTTAAAAAAACAAAGTCCACCTCGATATGGCCATATTATGGTCAGCTATAAAAAAATGAATTTAGCCAAAATGTTTCCCCCAAAAAACTATAAAACTTTTATCTGAAACTTTTTTTCTAAAATGCATATTTTCGACGGTATTTAACTGTAACACTTTAATTTGAACACCCGGTATACACATTATATACATATAATTAACTACTTTTTAATAAAATCAGTTTTTCCTGAATCATGGAAGGAAGGCTAATCCCAAAAAACGAAACCTTTAGTAAGTATTATATTTGATTTACGTCCTTTGACCATTCTACCAACTATTTCTTAAGTTTTAAAAAGAGTTGTCGAGCAACAAATACGTGAGCATTTAAACAAATATGACATACGTTAACACACACAATCAGTTCAGTGCAGGTTCTCGTACGAATCGGTTGTCTACAATTGGTGCTCTCGAGTCTTTACCGGCATAAATCAATTTCATAAAATAATTAGTTTAGTTTAATTTAATAATTTAAATATCTATGAGTGTTCTCGGAGGGGGGAAACCCCCCGACCCCAATATTTCGTCCCCTATTTCTATTGATGATGAAGATGCAAACATGGATTTCACGAACCCCACAGGTAACCTCCCAGATAATAATAATCCGAACGTAAGTAAAAACAATGCAGATTCTAATTTACAAAATACACAAAAAGCCATCATTACCGATAAAGATAATAAACAAAGGCAAGAAATTTTGTATGGGCCGTCTGACCACGGGCCATTTCACATATACGTGGAGAACAACTGCAAGGATTTTAAAGGTAGGCTAAATTCATTAAAAATTGGAGATATTATTTTAACAAATTTTCCAGAATTGGATAATAAAATATTAAGTATTGATACAATAGGTAGGAATAGAATTAGAATTAAAATGAAAGATTATAAAAATGCTAATTATCTTATTAATAATAAAAACGTAAAAGTGTTTATAGATAATAATTTAGATGTATATGTACCCAAGTTTATTTTGATGAGACAAGGAGTGATACGCGATATTTCAACTGAATTTACTGTCGAATACATAAAAAATAAAATAAGAAGGTATGATTCTCCATTCGAAGTAAATAATGTCACTAGAATAAATAGAAAAGTAACTACTGATGGTAAAATTGAATATATCCCAACCAAGTCGTGTGTAGTTAGTTTTAAGACGCAGATATTGCCAAAATATATTACCATAAATAAAGTATTAAAAGAGGTAGAACCATATTACCAGAAAGTATTATTATGTTTTAATTGTTTGCGATACGGCCACTTAGGTAGTCAGTGCAAAAGTCACCCTAGATGCAGCAAATGCCAAGAGTCTCACAATACAAAAGATTGTCAGGCATCAGATACAACTCCCAAATGCTTTAGTTGTAATGGAGATCATTCAACAACTAACCTAAATGCTTGTCCAGAATTTAAACGTCAAAAATTAATAAAAGAATCAATGTCAGTAAACAATTTAAATTATCATGATGCCAATACACAAATTCCAAAAAATTCTTATGCTAACGTAGCTGCCAAAAATACAAATTCACCTAATAACCATGCAAATACTCACTTTTTACCTCAACCTACTAACCCCCTTTATGCAAATAATAACTCCTCTCAATCAGACTTTCCAGTACTCCATCCTACTATTCCGCGTCAACAACAATATCAATATACTAACCAGTATACAGGAGAAACAAAAAAGGAAACACTGACTATAAATAATTTACCAAAAACTAACAAAAGGCAGAGGATAAATAGCCCAGACCTTGTAACAATTGAACACCGCGAACTAATCTCTCATCCTAGAGCACCAGGCCCAAAAGGGGCAATATTTCATAATTCAACATACAGTCAAAATTTAAACACATCAAATCTACAAATACACCAAGAAAACTTAGGCTTTAATGCCGTTGAAACAGTGTTAGAATTAGTTACAGTTATAATAAATACGCTTAGAGAAACAAATAATTTTAATGTATCCAAAACAGATTTAGAAAGCCTAATTAGTAAACAATTAAATATAAATATGTCAAATGTGTCATCATGTTCGCAAACCTAAAAGAATATAACATTTTGCAATGGAACTGTCGATCAGCAGTTTCGAACAAAGAAAATTTGGAGTACCTTCTTCATGAAAATAAAATTTTATTTGCACTTCTATCCGAGACCTGGTTTAAACCGGGGAAATATTACAATTTTAAAGGATATAATATTATAAGATCAGATAGAAACGATGGCTACGGCGGAGTAGCGATACTAATAAAACATAATCTTTTATTTAAAGAAATAATTATACAAAACCCTCTAAATATTACACTCTCTTGTATATCCATGAAACTGTTACCAAACCAGAAACATGTTTATATAATTTCAATATATATTAAACCTAGGACTCGAATAGAACCACGTGAATGGATAAATCTTTTTAATAGTTTGCCAAAACCTTTTATAATAGCAGGTGATTTTAATGCACATCATATATCTTGGGGATGTGAACACAATGACACATACGGTATTAAATTACTAGAAGCTTTACATCAATGTAATCTAATTTTACTCAATGACGGCTCTCCAACCCTAGTAAATAGCGGTAGGAAAAGTGCTATAGATTTAACCATGTGCACCCAAGACATCATCCAGTACCTTAGTTGGAAAATAATTGAGGATCCTCATGGCTCCAATCACCTTCCTATAACCTACACATTTGATACCAGTCATAAATACACAAACCCTATTGAGATAAAGCATAATATATGGTCCCTTAAACAAGCTGATTGGAACTTATATTCCACAATTTTGCTTCAGAAAACCCCTGAAAGACAATATACTAATTTAATAAATAATATAAATAAGGCAGCTGAAATTTCAATTCCAAAAAAATCAACGAATTCTAACTCATGCAGAAATCATTATCCAAAACAATGGTGGGATAAGAATTGTGACACAGCTGCAAAAAGACGAAAACAAGCCTTCCTAACCTACAAAGCAAATCCAAATGTTCAAAATCTTATAGAATATAAAAAACTCGACGCTGTAGCTAAGAAAACTTTCAAACAGACTAAGAAACAACAATGGATAAAATACTGCGAAAGCCTAAGTCAAATCACCCCTATCAAAGAAGTTTGGAATAAAATCAATTCATTTAAGAATAGAAAGAAATGCAACAAATTGCCAATAGACCTTAATGCAGATTGGATTGAAGTATTCCACTCACAGATTTCACCACCATGAGTACCAAATCACCCACATCTTTGTCAAGACCTGATGACTAGCGTTCCCAGAAATAATTTAAACTTATTAAAACCCTTTGAAATGTGGGAGTTCGAGCGAGCACTAAAGCAAAATAACAATACTTCGCCTGGAAAAGACAATATCTCTTATTCAATGATCGAATTTACCAAAAGACCAAAAAATATGTCTTCTACATATATATAACTCTGTTTGGATGGGCCATAGCGCAATACCAGAAACTTGGAAAGAATATATCGTTTTACCTATATTAAAACCAAGTAAAAAACCAGATAATCCAAACTCCTATCGACCAATTTCCCTAGCATCATGCATGTTCAAAACATTTGAAAGACTCATTAAAAATAGACTTGAGCATTGGCTGGAGAGAGAAAATATTTTACCGGAGTCACAATATGGGTTTAGGAAATCTAAATCTACCTTAGAAGCTTTAACATAATTAGTAGCTGACGTACTTATAGGATTTACTCAAAAATCAACTACAATAGCATCATTTGTAGATATAAGCTCAGCCTTTGACAACGTTATTCTTGAAACTCTATTCTTAAAGCTAATTTCCATTGGCATCCCAACACAAATCTCCTCTCTGATAACATCCTTATATTCAAACAGACTAACCTACTTAAAGATAAATCAAGTACTCTCAACTCCTCGTTACACACATCTCGGACTCCCACAAGGGAGTATATTAAGCCCATTGCTATATATACTGTATACAATGGACATAGAAAGTTGCTTAGAAAATACAAAAATTATCCAATTTGCTGATGATATAGTTTTTTACTCCAGTGATAAAACTATTCCCAAATCTAAAGAAAATCTTAACTCCACTTTACTTAATGTCCACAATTGGCTAAATGCAAATAATCTTACACTCTCGGAACAAAAATCAGAAGTCTGCATATTTTCAAGAAACAGATATATTCCTCAAGGACAAATGGAGTTAGGGCTTTATAATTTCACAATTAAAAATACTGTAAAATATCTAGGCCTATATTTAGATCGAAAGTTGCTATGGAAAGATTGTATACAACAAGTTATAAGAAAGTCCGAGAATTCAATTAACATATTAAAAGCCTTCTGTTTTACAAAATGGGGAGCTGACCCAAATATCGCTCTATTATTTTATAAAACTATGATAAGATCAATCCTAGATTACGGCAGTCATCTTTACGGATCAGCAGCAGATGTTCACTTACAGAAAATAGAAATACAAAAAAACAAAAGTCTTAGAATTTGTCTAGGATACCTGAAGTCAACTCCCATCAATATCATAGAAATTGAAGCAACGGAACCTCCTCTAGAATATAGGCGACAATTTATGAGCAATATATTTATGTCAAGGGCCATTTCCAAACAAGCACATTACATTTCTTCCATTCATAATCTTTCCATACTTGTACTCACTCATTCATTCTGGCAAGTTAAAAAGACTCCTTTATTTGTGGAAAGTTATACTTCACTATCTACATATTCAAACATAATATACACAAACAAAACCATCCCATATTACACAGAAGCTCTTAATATCTTATTTTCAAATAAAATATATACCAAGAATATTAATCCTAACGATGATTTTAACAAAACCAATAAACTGTGGCCAGAATATTACCACATTTTTACAGATGGGTCTAAGATGAGTAACAACGTAGGTTGTGCTTATTATGATTCTAAAACAAAGCATCATCAAGAATATAATTTTCCTAAAGAAGCATCAATATACACGTTAGAACTATATGCAATCTTGCAAGCAATGAGGTATATACGGCATAATCCATTTAACAAATTTATCATCTTCACAGATAGTAAAAGTTCTGTCGACCGTCTATCAAATTTAAATACATCCTCACAGATCTCGCATCTAGAACTAGATATACTGAAAGAAAATTTTGAAATAACAAAGCAAAATAAAACATTAATTGTGGTTTGGATTAAAGGACATTCGGGAATAAAAGGCAACGAAATAGCAGACAACTTAGCTAAATCATCCCATTTGTCTGGAGATGTACTATCTGCAAACTGTATCCCATATTCAGACTTAAAATCATTATTTAAAGAAAAAATTATAACTGATTGGCAAGAAAAATATGATAACACGTTAACTGGTTTAAACTTTAAAAATTATCACAAACAAATTCCAAGATTAAGATGGTTCCATTCAGTAACCAACAGGCACTTTGTAATAACTATAAACAGAGCAAGATCAGATCATGCATTAATTCCATCCTATAAATACAAAATAGGCATTGCTGAAAATCCATACTGTTTATGTGGAGAATACGGAAATTTGGAACATACGTTATTGGAATGTCCACTAAACTGGGAGAGCCTAAATACCTTTTATAATGAACTAACAAAAAATGGGCAAATTTTACCAATTAATTTTAATTGTATTAGATTTACTAACAATATTAGTATATTATTTTGTACTTGCATTGAAAAAAAAAAAAATTAAAAAAAAAAAAAATAAAATAAAAAAAAATACAAAAAAAAAAATTAATTACAAAAAATATATAATATACTACAAAAAAAAAATAAAAATAAAAAAGAAAAATTTATATAAGCACACATACCAAATACTAACAATAGAGATACTAACAAATATTTGTGTATTTGTAGATTTGAAACAATATTGTGTATTCGTGGAACAGATACAAAAGTCTGGCTAATTGGTTCCTACCACAGCCATTTAACTAATTAAAAAAAAAAAAAAAAAAAAAAAAAAAAAAAAAAAACACACAATCAGGATTTAGACCAGGACATAGTTGCGGTACAACATTTTCTAATATCACAGATGCCATCTTAAAACA